AACATTAAGATAATATTTTTACATGAAGCTATACATTCACTCAATACATACTGGAAGGTGAACTTGCTTATGTTCTCGTCAACATGGCCAGCTCCCCATGTGGTGTCCAGCAGGTGCCATCTTCCTTCTAAATATACCATGTTCCATGTGTGGTCTGAATCCCCAGATATCGTCTGTCCTGCCTTGTTTGAGGGTCCTTTGGAGAAGCCGCTGACAGTCTTGCACTGAATAGTAGCTAAGCTAAACAGGGAAAATGTACTTATCAGACACCCATAACTACATCACATGAGTCTACATGTGCATTTTACTCTCATATCAAATATCTTTATCTTCTGTCATAGCTGGTTAAAGCCTGACTCCTCGCAGAATTTGCCTTTAGTTTTAAATAGAGGAGAGTTAGAACCTGCCAGGTTTTTACTGTGGACAGTTACCCATTGGGGTTATTTCCCCTTACTCTATGGGGTCTATTCACGAAGCTGCCGAGGGCAGCCGAGTGAATGACGGATCTGAAGTGAAGTGAGCCGAACACTGTTCGGCTATTCACTTCAGGCTGGTACGGCTGATTTCAGCCGTACATCGGCTGAAATCAGCCGTACATTGGCTTGCTTCGAGTGGCTTCAGGTCGGCTGAACATGCTCAGCATGTTCGGCCAACCCGAAGTGCAGAAGGTGTTCGTCTCAGCCGATCCAACATCTGGATCGGCTGTGCCGAACCTCCGGCAGGCTTCTCACTGCTGTTCAGGCTATTCTTAAAAATCCCGGACAGCAGATGGCACCTCCGTCTCACCAGGTCAAGAAATGAGTGGAACGAGGGACACTGGAACAAGAAGGCAAATAAAACAATAAAAACCTGCCAGATGTTCTAAGATTAACAACCTTACGAAAACCTAACCAAAACAAAAAGAAAAGTTGAGAGCTGGGCTTTAAGCCGATAATACTTAAACAACTTCTGACTTTTTCATGACTAACCAAAAGCATCAGTATCCTCACAGGCCATACAAATGCGTGATCAGAGTAAACCAGCTTTTCTCAACCAGGGTGCCTTCTGGCTTCCTCATAAATACTTTAACATTTTTGCAACTTTTAAAAAATGTTAAATTTTTGTGCAGTGCGGCTGAATCCACTGGAACACAGACTTTGTGGTGTGAACCGGCCCTTAAAGTAAAACAATAAATTTGCTTTTCACATGAGTGGATAACTGAAGGGAATAATCACAAATATTCATTGAATGAAAAGTTTCATCTCCTTCTTATTTCTGTTTAGTCTAGGCATCTTTTACCAGAAAAACATGAGATCATTTCCTATTTACTGTCTGCTAGTAGTTCTGACAGCAGAACTGCTCAAAAGTATTCACTCCCTCCCTCTCTCCTAACAGAGAATGGACCTGGATGTCAATAAGCATGCAGATAGTGCTGGGCTTTCTTATTAGACAATAATAATCTTATAAGGCAATGATCATTTTAAAATGTCATAAATACAACTAAACAAAATACATTTATTGCTATTCTGAGCTATTACCATATTACCATAAAAAAATACACATACTTAGTAGATCTAATAAAGTATTACACATACAGTAGATCTAGTAAAAAAAATACACATACAGTAGATCTAATAAAGAAATACACACAGAGGGTACATCTATTAAAGAAATACACATACAGTAGATCTAATAAAGGAATACATGTACAGTAGCTCTGATAAAGAAATACACATACAGTAGATCTCATAAATAAATACATGTATAGTAGCTCTGATAAAGAAATACACATACAGTAGATCTTATGAAGAAATACATATACAGGGGGTGATTTATCAAAACTGGAGCAGACAAAATCTGGAGCAGATTTGCAATGCAACCAATCAGCTTCTATCTCTCATTTTCAAATCTCAACTGAGCAAACTGAAGAGAGATCCTGATTGGTTGCCATGGGCAACTGCTCCAGTTTCTGTCTGCTCCAATTTTGATAAATTCCCTTCACAGTATATTTATTAAAGAAATACGCATATAGTAGATCTAATAAAGAAATACACGTACAGTAGATATAATAAAAACATACATGTACAGTAGATCTAATAAAGAAATGAATGTACAGTCGATCTAATAAAATAAATACACATACAGTATATTTATTAAAGAAATATACATATAGTAGAGAAATACAAATATATATCTACTAAAGATGGTCACGCACTGTAAGTATACATTACCTGCACATGCATTCAAACAGTGAGCAGTATCCAGAAGCGGTCCCTTTCCTGGTTTGTAGGACAAGGTCTGGGTCAGGCAATATCAGAACTTTATTCTTTAATCCTGCTGTGTCATACTCTGAGAGAATCAGAAAGAAGAGATATACATAATAAATCATGTAGCGCTCACCCCCGAAGGAGCCGCCAGAATAACCAGGGTCATCGCTAACCTGTCTAGGGATTTTTTTGACCAGCTGCCCCATTAGCATAAACCGCCCTCTTCAGGTGACCAACAGAGTTGAAATCTAGGCCAGAAGTATGATGCTGAGGGACTTTATTAACATATTCACACTGAGAGATAGGGTATATGGGCCTAGACATCCAGGATGAAACAGACTCCAGACTCACCAGTCCCTTTCAGTAATTCAGTATAAATCCGTTTGCATCACAGTTGAATAGGGATAGGTACAGAAAATTCAATAGGAGAGACATCAGACCTGCTCCTGAGGTCCTCTATAGTCCAGGCACCTCCAGCAGCCAGCAGCTTCTCTGGTTCTCTTCCTCAATTAGCAGCAAAGGCCTCCTCCAGGCTTAAGGTCTAACAAAGCATTTTCCACACTCAGGTGTTCCCACCCCAGGCCTATCCCAGCGGCAGGCTGGACAGAACCCCAACCTGCACTAATCCATGGCTGGAGCCAGACTGAGCACATTGCAATTCCCTGGAGTATGTATGCCTTGTCCCAACATGCAACACTGACCATGAGAGCCCCAGTGATTGGCTGGTACACTGCACACATACTCACAGTGTCCCCCTTTGGCTGTCTCCCACTACAGGAGAGTCACACTCCACTCACGTAGGTATTATCAATGCCAGAACACCTGAAAATTAACCAGACAAATGCCAACTATAATTCAGCCAGGCTGACTACAGCTCTGGCAATCACTAAATTTCTAGTTTCCACCTCACAAAAGGTGATGGGGGCTACAATCGTATATATGAATTAAAACTACAAGTTGGAAATTTTGGTAAATTTTATTCATCAAATATGATACATTCGAGAGATATTTGATGATTAAATTCTGATAAATATGGGAACCACATACCAATATGATGACAGATCCATATCCAGAAAACTCTGGTTTTCTCCAGCTCTGTGTTAGCATCAAGGATAAGTTCTTTCACTAATTCTTCAAGTGTCCCATTGGCATTAACCTAGAGTCAGACATAGACAGTATACATAATAAAATTGACTCAATATATCAACATTGAGAGTTTAAAAAACAAACCAGTGATGAATAGAGAGATAATAGATTAGAAATTAACTGCAAAGCATCTTTTTTTAGTGCATTCAATTCTCAAATTGTTCTATAAACTGATATGTCTCACTTCCTTATGTCTATCCATGTCCTTGGCAATATACAGTATATATATATATATTTATACATATACACACACACACACACACGCACACAATA